GGTGTCTGGCTCCCACTCCAGTAGCGCGTGCCCATCAACACGGTGAATCATGGCGCCGCCCAGCTCGCTGGAGTGGTGCCTGCCGCGCTCTGGCTGGGAGTCGTCCTCCCCCCCCCCTTCAACCATGCCAGAGGCTTATCAGACCCGGATCTCACTCGGAGCTCCCTCTCTCCCTTATCATCGTGCCCCTCCTCCCTTTTGTGTCCGCCGCGCACACGGCCATTCGCAGCTTTGCCCGCGTGAGTTGTCGTCGCACCGAGCGCGCCGTGTCTCGCCAGCCGTTACATTTGAATAAGACGCGCCTCTAATCAGCGCGTGGGGGGTGGCGTGGTTGTGCAGCGGTTGTGAAGCGGGCCTGTAGTACACCTAAAACAGCAGGTACTTGAAGCCAAGTGCATTTTCTTGAAACAAGTAAACTGAGTGCACTCGTGATTTGAGTAGTGCATCCTGTTGTTTCGAGAAACTGCACTTGACTTCAAGTACCTCTTGCTTTTTCGGGTGGACACTTGGTGACTCTCTCCCTGTTCCTCGATACCGCCGCTCACCTCTTCCTTCATCCATTGCCTGTAACCCTGACCCTCCTTCCCTGCTCCCGCATATCTCCCCCCTTGATCCTCCACCCTCCCCTCACCTCTTAAATCAATCGGGGAGTGGCTCCCGCGAGGGCCCCTGCGGGAGCCGCACTATCATGGGATGTGGCTCTATGGGACGCACAGATCAGCCGCCGGCCCGCTTATCAGGGGGTGCTCATCAGATACGACACTGCTGCGGCTCCGAGGACCGCCGGCGAGGCTCTTGAGGCTCTCGCGCGCGCGCACTCCCCCTCGCCCGACCGTCCCTCTGCACCTGCGCACGCCACCGTCCCTGGCACGCCACGTGGCAAGCGTATAGTTGGGCCATTTCGAGAAAATCGCATCAGAAACCAAAAAATAAAATATAAAAAAAAATGTTCCATCCGGTATTTTTGTCAAAATGTAAGTACTTTGCGCACCGGGCAGAGCAGGGAGGTCGTTGGCCTCCTCTTTCTCCTTGTTTTTTGTCAGGATCGTTGTCGATCTGGCAACACTGCCCCACTTTCTACGGCAACCGCCCGTTCTCCCGCCTGCACGCTCTCTCTGTCTCCTCGCCTCTCTTGTCTCTGCTGCTGCTGCTGCGGTGGTGCCTCTCTTCGCTCTCTCTGGCGTTATCTGCAATCGACAAGACGAAGAGGAGAGCCGGAGGGGGGTAAAGGCGGGGGTCGTGCTAAAGGAGGGGTAGAGGCAGGTGAACTCCACCCTCCCGATGCTTGGTACCACTCCAAAGTGCCACTTCTGCAGAGATTTGCATGGGTGCGGCTAAGTGCGTCCACGACCTGGGATCCCCCGGGCTCGCCGCCTCGCCCGAGGGGGGGACCGAGGAGAAAGCAGGGGGACAGCCGGAGTACACCCCCCTCGCTTCCTCCACCCCTCCTCCCTTCTTCGCCCCCTCTCTACTCCTCCGGACAAGTTGGTTCGGTTCCCGGAGCTCCATTGTGCGGAGAGAGACGATCGTTATTGCTTCCGAAAGCGCCGCCAAAATTGGCTATTTCTATTGAATTCTCTTCCGCTCCTACCTCTCTCTTGCACCCCCCCCCCCTTTACCATGACTCTCCCACACTCTCTCTCCCAGGTGAGCGAGGACGGCGATGTTTCCTCGCAGTGTAACAGGTCGCCAGCAACGGCGCGGAACGCGCCCCCCGACAAAGTTGGCCGCATAAAATGCAACGCCACGTCGGCGCTGACGTGGATTGTTTTTTTGTTGTTGTTCTTTTATTTCTCGCCCGATTCGATAGATGATGACGGCTCACTCACGATCGTGGGAACGGCGCTCTCTTGCCGACAGAGGCATGATAAAGAGGTCCGACGCGATGAAGGAAAATAGTTATTTTATACAAGTAAAAGTCATGTCGCACAAAGTCGTGTATTCACTTTCGTTTCTCGCCATGATTGCTTTTGGTGATTGCCTTTGGTAATAAATTCACGTGCGGGAACACGCACAAACAAATCCTACTTTTCCTAACACTGTTTTCGACTGTTTTGTTTCGTCTGTTTCAGCGCTGCCCAAGAAGAAGCTGCAGATCCAGGGCGTGGAGAAGGCGTACTCGCTGGGGACGGTCATCAATGCCACCTGCACAGCGGACCGCTCCAACCCGCCAGCCACCGTCCAGTGGCTCATCAACGGCCACGCTGTAAGTACAAGCAACAAGCTGCTGTTAGACAAAAATAAAGTGCTGCAGGGGATGAAAATTTGTCACAACTCGTAGGTTCGAAATTGCATCTTTCAAGATGTGCACGCAGACGCACCTCGCAATGGACGAAAAAAGACCCTTGCCATTTAGAGTGTACAGCTGGGTCACAATTCAGCCATCTCTCTGTAAATGTAAATCTGGCAGCAGTTTTGAAGTAAATTTGTACCCAATGGCCAATGACATTGATTGGAGACGTGCGAATGCAAGTCGCCTTTTTTTAGATGCGTAATCATATGACCCTTCAACTGGTATAAACCCAACTATGTCGTGAAGTGAATGCACTCTTCCCTCCGTGGGTAGGGTTGGTCCTCCCCGGGCGCGAATGAAGCCGTCGGACCTTGACGGAGGAGGGTGTACAGCGACCGGGCGCTGGACCAGCGTCTTCCGCCTCGCCCTTTGCCCTCGACAGCAAGGCCGGACAAAATCACTCTCGACGAAGTTCGCAGCAGCCTCAACTATCCCCCCCCCCCACGCTCTCTCTCTCTCCCTCTCCCCTTCGCTTCCTCTCTCCTTCGCTCCCTCTCTCTCGGCGGCTGCTCATGAATATTTGAGGCGAAAGCCTTTCAAGACAAAGAGGCAGCAGCAGCAGCAGTAGGGTTGGTCGCGAGGGCCGCGGGATCGACTGACTCGCATTCATTCATTTTTACCGCTGGGGGGCCCAAAGGCTCGCCCAAAGGGCTCAAAGAAGGCTTGCAATGTCTACTTTCAATTCAGCCGCTTTGAAGGTAGAATGCAACTTTAATTACATTCACTCGGCCCGCCTGCCGGGGAGGCGACCCCCCCCCCC